CATCTGGAAAATTCCAGTTGGGAACCAACCTGGATCCAGCCGGATTTTTGCTCTACCTTCCAGCTGGAATCGGTCCGAATTTACTGTTGGAGTCCAGCTGGAACCAGCAAACAAAACCAGATTCAATCCAGCTAGAAAATTCCAGTCGGGATTTTAAACTGGGTCGACACCCAATCCTACGCCTAGCTCCACTACCCGGAATTTACCGTTTCAAAGAAATCATGGTCTTGCATCTTGGGTCTGTGGACTGACATTAGACTTTTCTCGAAGGGGTATAGATAAAATTGGAATTCCCAAGGAAAGTTGAAATATCCCTGTCAGTGTCACTGACCGGGAAGCCCAAGGGGGGGTTCTAACCCCCTAAACCCCCCCCCCCCCTTCCCTACGCCACTGATGACGATGCTCAAGTCACTATCTGCAGGACCACTGTCTGGCAGTAAGAGGTTTCCCCTGGTGTGGAGATTTGTGCCCGAAGGGTTCTACCACTTCCCTGGGCTTTTAATCAAAGAGAGAGAGCCAATGCACTGGGATCATTAACTGGTATAAGTAATAAATTAGCTGCAATCCGAGCCATGTGTCAGAGAGAGCCAACTCTGAACCGGAAATATGAACTGTTCCCTATGGAAAAAGATCTAGAAACATGACAGGAAGAAAGAGAAGAAAAGCAGAAGAGGAAAGTAATTGCAAAGGGAGGAACTAAACTCCTGACCTAGAGCCTGTATTCTCGCTTAGGCCTATGGTCCATAGGCTATAATCCAGCCTAGGTCTAAGTCCTGGGGCAGTTAGCCCAGGCCTATGGCTTGGGAGTCGTGGCTTTGGAACCTGTCTAGGGAAGGTCTCACTTTAAGAAAGAGGGAAAAATATCGTCTCCACCCACCTCTCCGTATTTGTTTGAGATTGGCAAATAGTGGGTTTTATTGAAGAGCTTAAAGTTTTTGCTAAGCATCCAACCTGGGATATCCATTATAGCTCAATGTCTTATGAAGAAGGTCGCTGTTGAAAATGAAATCATCCTTTAAATCGCAATTCGCAAATATCTATTTAGCTGCGATTTTATCACATTTTTGATTATGTGGGAGGGAATGTTAGAGCGGTACATAGGCATGTTCAGTATTTTAAAGAAATAGTCCCTTCTCTTATCGTAGTTTTGAGATTGGCAAATAGTGGGTTTTATTGAAGAGCTTGAAGTTTTTGCTAAGCATCCAACCTGGATATCCATTATAGCTCAATGTCTTATGAAGAAGGTCGCTGTTGAAAATGAAATCATCCTTTAGATCGCAGATTTGCAAATACCTATTTAGCTGCGATTTTATCACATTTTTGATTATATGGGAGGGAATGTTAGAGCGGTACATAGGCATGTTCAGTATTTTAAAGAAATAGTCCCTTCTCTTATCGTAGATACTGGTCAGTATCTGCGAATTTGAGATACTTAAGTTTAAATCCAAATTGTGTGCCAGAAGAAATGGTGGTTGAGTTGTTTCTACAGCTTCCATAAAATCCAGATAGATGTTTTTAATATCAGGATCTATCCTGTCGTTGTTAATGGCCAGGAGATCATCTATAAATCGGAATGTAAAGGCATAATTCTCAGAGAAAGGATTTTCTTTAATACATTTTGATTCATAGAAAAACAGAAAAAGGTTTGCCATGTTCGTGGAATTGGTACTGCCATTGGGTTTCCGACTACTTGCTGAAAAAGTCGATTCCCAACTTGGATGTAATTACATTCTAGGCTTTTTTTGAGCAGTTGAGAAAACCTTCCCTTGTCTATTTCACCTTTCTTGCCAAACTTGCATCCAACAGACAGAAACCTCTCGAAAATATAAAAAATGCAATTATGGAGTAGGTCTAGGGGAATTTTTGTATATAGATATATTTTTGTATATAGAGGGCTAGTTCGGGGCAGGCACTAAGGTGGTGAACCGTTACGGGTGGTCCATGATGTTCGACTAGAATTATTCCTCTCCCGCCTTTCCAGGAATCTTCTTTACTTCTATGGGTTTCGCTCCCAGTTCTCGGTAGAATACCTTCTGGTTATTCGTGAAGCGCTCGTTATGCCGGAAGTAATTGACCTTTTTCGTGTACCGCCTTATCCTCAGGGCACAGGCATCTGTTGCACTGGGTGCACATGGTGATCCTCTGATTCATGGGGCACCACGGCCGTTGGACTGTCGAGAGTCTCATCCGCCCTTCATCGGTGAAGTGTCCAGCACCGCCTTAGGCAAGCAGCTCGAAGTTCCCATGTCACCCATCCAAGTTGTGCCCATGCTGACGCTGCTGAACTTGGTGATCGAAGGGGCTCCGATTCAAGCGCTGCGCCACGTGCTGCCTATATTATATAAAATATGCCCTCCTCACGGAAACGTATGAAATGGACAAATTCCTTGAACATTGACGTCAGGCGGGCGTACTATTAAGCAATATCCGATGCGCCAGGACCGTACCGGAAGAAAATGCTCGAGCTCTGGAATCAATCTTACTCAGAGCTGAATAACAACGAGTAACGACTTGCGAATCAGAGACTCCATATCGAGCGGAACAACATGCTCTCAGAACTAGCGGGAAAACATCAAACAGGAAGNGAAGGGGAACACATCCCGGAAAGTGAAACTGACCTACAAGCGGCTGTGCCCCAAGTACAAGATCACCTCCGATGCCGATCTCCTGAACGCCATAGAGAACGTGAAGATGAAGATCCAAGCTTGGGCCCTGAGGATAAGGCGGTACACGAAAAGATCAATTACTTCCGGCATAACGAGCGCTTCACGAATAACCAGAAGCTATTCTATCGGGAACTGGGAGCGGAACCCATAGAAGTAAAGAAGATTCCTGGCAAGGCGGAAGTGGAAGAATTTTGGTCGAACATCATGGAACGCCCGGCGAGCCACAACGTCGATGCCACATGGCTCCGACGTCAGAGGGAGCTAACAGATACTCCCGAAATGAGTGACCCCCAAATTACAATATCTGATCTGCAGAAGGCACTCAAATAGCGAACTGGAAGAGCCCCGGGCACGACCGCCTTCCGAACTTCTGGCTGAAGCAATTAACATCGCTACATGAACAACTCGCCAGAGAAATGAAGAAAGTAGTGACGGACCTCTCGGAGATGCCGGATTGGCTCACGGCAGGAGTCACCTACCTACTGCCGAAAAACGCCGAGACCCAACTACCAAAGAATTACAGGCCCATCACCTGCCTGCCAACCGTCTACAAAGTGCTGTCTTCCATCCTAGCAGCACGAATCGAACGACACATCTATGACAACAACATCATGTCGGAAGAGCAAAAGGGTTGTCGGAAAGGATCATACGTCTGCAAGGAACAGCTCTTACTCAACCGTATGGTCATGGACGATGCCAGAACCAGGAAGAAGAATCTTTCGATGGCATGGATCGACTACCAGAAGGCATATGACTCGGTGCCCCATTCATGGATCATCGAGTGCCTCCGTAACGTTCAGCCGTTAGAGGGCGAAAACGTTAATATAAAAGTATCAGTTCTTTTGGGGACTCCTAAGTCGATCGTGCTGACGTCAGAGGTGAAGGCTCCATGTTGGTAACACGGGTAATAACTGAGACAGAGGCCGAGGTTTTCAATTTATAACGTCCATTGTAAATTTTTAGTGAAATAAATTGTGCTCGACAAGGCCTTTCAGAAGGTATGTACTCGTAGTTCGTAGGGGATCAAGGCACTTTTGGGCCTTGTTCTCTGGGGGAGCCTTTCCTAAAGTGAAGGTGAAGATGTTCTGAATTTGGTCCCTTGGGCTCCTTGTCGGCACGAAGGTCATCGATATCTCGAGCACCGGGCGTATCCAAGACCATCACCGAAGAGGACGACGAGTCCTCTCGCCGGTGAAGACATGGCCGTGATTCATTTGCATGCGACTCTATTCCACGAGGCGAAATCGGAAAGGAATCGGGGAAAGTGCATGCATCGATAGCGATCTCCTCGCAGTCGGAGTAGCGGGTAGCTTCACCCTTAGCGCTCCTATTCGCGCCATCACGGATTTCTATTTGATACGTACCGCAAGGAGACGGAGAAGTGATGGTTTGTCGAAGCGATGAGGTGCGAGCACGGTTCTCGTCGTTGTCGGCATCCTCGTGGAGGGACTGATCTCGGATTGTATTTGCGGCCCAAGGGCCCTTTGCGGCCCAAGGCCCATCACAACTTTTGTCATCCCTTAGTAACTAAACTAGAGATAGACTGAGTCCTTTCACTTCCTTCCCCTAATTATTCCTCACCCGGGAGCGCTACATATGTCTCGCGAAGGTTCTCTATTCCAAAGGCTAATTTTGGGCGTTGGAATTTCCTAGGGAAGGGGCGGGGGTAAGGATCATCGGCCAATCAGCGCGACCTTATGCCCTCATATGCCCTGAGGGCAAAAGTGGGGAGCCTTTTCTTTTGCATTCTATGGCCCGCGTGATGAGTCAGACATTTCCATGCGGCCCACTGCCGGTTAGGGTTGCACTGGTTTAGAGCGTTGCGAACGGCCTTTTTCTGATTCCCAGCTCGTCTGCGTGTCGATTGGGCCATGCCGTATTGGCAAAATGAAATTCATTGGCGGGATCGTAAAAGAAAAAGAGGAGGGGATCCGGTCTCGAGCGCTCGCGTTGGGTATTTGTCGGGAACGTTGAGGTCAAGTTCGAGGATGGGGGAGCAGGACTCTTATGACGTCATGGTCGTTTTCACATCGAACAAGAGAGGTAACGAATTTGACGCTTTTTTTCGTATTTTCTTAGCTTTGTGAACTCTTTGAAGCCGGATACACGCCCGTGGCCGGTGTCGATCGAACCGAAAACAATGGGGAACGGATTAGCGAAATTTAATTGCAACCGGCCGAAGTTAAAATAGGCAAATAATATAAAATAGAATTAAGAACGATTGAAATTTCTTCGAATATGGGAAGGAGTGGATCACTCGGATGCTGCTTGCCGAAGCGCTCTGTCCGTGATCTCCCTGCTTCTGTTTGGATCTGCGAAGCGGACGATCGAGCGAGGCTCACCGAGGCATTCCCGCCAGATTTCCTCGTCCCCAAAGTCGAAGAAGACGTCGTAGTCGCCCTCTTTGGGGCCTGTGGACTCCTCCGGCAGTCCCGACAGCAGATCCAACAGCTGGAACAAGAGCTGGACGTTCTCCTCCACGTCTCGCTCCTCCTCCTCCTCTTCCTGCAGCAGCTCCTCGTACTCCTCGAAGGGGTCCTGGCCTTCCTTCACCTGTCGACCCAGCTTCTCCCTCTTCAGAGCTGCGTGGAGATACCTGAGCCTCTGCATGTGTCCCGGCTTATTTTCCCTCTCCTCCGTCTTGATGAGGAGTTCCAGATACTCCGTGGTGTCCGTCAGGTGCGGCCTGAGGGCGATCGTCTCCAGTCTGCGCTGGATCTCGTGGACCCGGGACAAGGTGTCCCGGACGTTCTTCCGGGCCTGTTTGAAGTCGTTTCTCGCGCGCTGGAGTAACGTCTCGGATTTGCTCTTACCGGCTCTGGAACGCGAAGGAAACGATTCGTTTCAATAGCGGCGGAAGACTGTCCGATTTATGCTGAACTATCGAATCGACTGTAACCAAGCGGTAATTTTTTTTTCTTTCAAATTAGACTCAATTTCTCAATGACTTTCTATTTAACTGTTGTCCTACAAGGCGAGAGACTAAGCGTATCGTCCAACAATCGATATTGTATTTGCTGAACTACGTGTAATATCACTCGGTAAAAAAAAGAAAATAATATACAAGCGTATTGGCCAAGCCCATTTGACAAGATATGCCAACGACAGGAGCGCATCGCCGACCTCACCATCTGCTGAATATGGGGAGGGCACTTACCTACTCCCCTTTCCATTTTAGGGCATGACCGCTTGGACAAGTTGGAGAATTACGTGGACAGTTAACATGCATAAGTATTTCATGCATACATTTTTTTTTCTTTTGACCAAAAACTTGAATAGTAATATATATTACTTTTCGACGCGTAGGCGAATTTTTTCCACCAACGAATGCGTTTGTTACTTCGCCGTAATTCGAGAATACTCACAAGGATTTCTGATATCGATCGAGAAGCGCCTGGGAGGTCCGGGTTTCCACCTCGGTGAACCTCTCGAAGCGGTAGGTATTGGCAGCGTGCTGGGACCACGCGCAGTGTTTGGGGCAGGCCGTGCAGTTCCCGGCCCCATCCATGGCGGAGCACTCCCGCTTCCGCTCCGTCTCCCTCGTCCTGCACGGGTAGTGGCAGGTGAAGCTGCAGACGAGGCAGTTGGTCACGTGCTCCCCGACGAGGTCCACCTTGCGGCTGCGCTGCACCTCCAGCACGTACTGGAAGGATTTGTTGCAGGCGATGTCCGATTCTCGCTCACGGAGCACCTTCAGCTCGTTCCGGATCTCTTCCAGCTTCCCCACGCCTGCACGGTTTCACAGAAACATACACTCTTGGTTGAAAGGGCGGGAAACCCATCGGAGGTCTAGAAATGAGAAACTTATCGATAGGCGTACACATATGATTTTGTACTAAATTTAGATGAAAGTTTTAACATGTTACCAGAATCTATTTAGTTTTGTTCTCCCATTTCCAAGCAGTTTACCTAGGTCGAACTGAGCTTGAAGGCCCTGCAAGGTAGCATTCAATTTCTGCCTCTCGTTCAAGACTTCCTTCGTGAGTTTGAGACTGACTGGTTGAGTCTCGCCCAGATCCCTGAAGAACCTCTTGAGGTTCGTGACCCCCATCTTCCAGAAGGCCCGGTCAAAGTCTCCCCCCTCGGCGGGAGCGGCGTAGAGGGCCGAGTTGTTGAACTTGTAGTCTTGGGAGAACGGGACCTCGGCGACTTTCATGGCCTCGAGCACCGCCGGGGTCTGGTTGTCGGCGAACGTGGCCATGGCGAAGATCCTCTCCTTCACGTCCACCCCGAACACGCTGAGCACAGACTCGAACACGTACCGCTGCGTCTTCGTGAGGCGGGCGCAGGAGGCCTGAGCCACCATCCCGACCCCGTCCAGGTGGTCCTCGCCCAGCGCACTCTGCAGGATAGGTAGCCTCACGATGCAATTTTATTCCATTGCTTCTATCTACCTCGTGCCTTGTTATCCCTTCCAGATGTCATCGATGATGCTTCATCAATAGTAAAATGAAAGAGCAGCTGTTGTGCAAACTTATTATGAGACCAGAGGCCTAGGAGGCAAAAGCTGACAAGACTTCCGAAAACAGCAGAACCTTTTCTGATTCTGGAACGGTTGTGGAATCATGCGTTTAGTAATAATATAATCTATAATATGTTTGCTAACTGAAGTTAGCAAACTGATTGCATTTGGAAGTGCAAAAAAGCAAGAATTATATGGAATGTAAAAAACAAAATCGTCAACGAAGGTTCTGTACGTTCCGCAACCGACCTCGGAAGAAAAGAAATGCTGAATCTGTCCCTTGAGATCTTCGTCGGCCTGCAGCCCGTCGGTATCCCCAAACCCAGGCGTATCCACGATGGTCAAGGTGTAGGGGATCCGAGACCCCTCCCGCCGATGGAGGACGTACGCCGTGATCCACTTGGTCTGGGACTCCGCCTGCGACCTCCCCGTGTCCTCGTCGACGAGGCGAAACCGGAAGGGATCCTCCCATTCCACCCCGTACACGTAATTGGCCATGGCGTTGATCAGGCTGCTTTTACCTGCGGACGAGATCATTCCGGGCGCGTTTCCTCTATGAAATGAAGGTCTTGCGATGTCTATTGGCGCTTGGGGCCTTCGTAAACAATTTCGGGAATAATGATTTTAACTTCGCCTGATTGCTTTACTACAACTGATAAACTTGATATTTATTCGGTTTTTGAATATCATCCAAAAGGGAATTGATAGTAAAAGAAATCGGAATCCGTCCACTACTTAAAAATTGACGTCAGAGGTAGAAACCAATCGAGGCCCGCGCAGAAAAGGATAAAAGAATGTCAGACTTAACTTTAGAAAAGCTAACGTTAATCGCCATCTGGCGGCTGACGACCTCTAAGCGATTCCTTTACGAGCGTCCCAAGAAGAATCATCGATCCGTTGCGATTCAACGATTTTTTCAAATTTGCCTCGGACGCATGCAACCGTCGAAGGGAATCGAAGATACCTGCTCCCGTGGCCCCGACGACGAGCAGAACCTTCTCGACCCCGGTGTCGATCCCCCGGCTTCCGTACTCGCAGCGGGCGACCCGGTGCTTCTCGTCCCTGACCACGTGGTTCTTCCGGAGCAGGTAGATCACGGGGGGACCCCTGTCCTTCAGCTCTCCCTCTCGAGCCAGCCTCTGCGCCAGTGTCTCCTGTCCGGAATACACCCTGGCTTATTCCTCGGCGAAACCGGCGAAACCTCGCGGTGCCGATTGTCTCGATGGCGATAAACGCGGTAGCGATTCTAGCGGTGCCGATTTTTTCGGTTGCTTTTCGGACTGCGACGCGCGCGATAATTCCAGCTGGGAAAAAGCGTGACGTCTGTCACCGGTCGAGGAAGACATTGCTTCTGGGAGTTTCAACTTGCATTAGAAAAAAATAATATTAACTCTTACTTGGCCAAGAAAGGGGGGACGGGGGTCGTTTTTACTCACAACTCGTATTTATGCTGTTTATGTGTACTAAGTAGGGCTGTTAATCGATTAAAAAATTTAATCGATTAATCGCGAGCCATTTGATAGATCAATTGGTCGATTAATCGAATTTTAATGGATCCCATAGTTCCTCCTTGAATCATGTCCTAGGCATTGAGAATGATTCTGCTTGTGTCATGCCCAACACCTAGGCAAGCCTTAGGAAGTGACTCAAGGCGATGCAGTCGCTAACGTATCTGACCATGCATACACTAGTTCATCCTACATATGGCACATTCCAGTCGGATAGAAAACAGTTACAACTTAGCCAGATAAATAATGAAACGTAATCAAAGAAGCGCACTGAGGTCCTTTGCCATTTAGCCAACCCATAACGGAAAGATGCGAAAATACAATTTAAATGATTGGACGTATACAGTGACACTTCATTGTTCGGAGGTTTAAAGATTATTAACGATTTATGGGCAACACAGGATGGAAGAGCAAAAATACGAGTAAGCAAGGAATAAGGGAGGGTTTCACACTTTCGTTTCCACTTCTCTCGCCTGCCCTCGGCTTTCCCCCTCTCTCGGTTACTTTCCGGGAGCTCCCACAGACGTTCGCCGGTGCACATATGCGTACGCCTCTCACTTCCCAGTCTTTATATAATCCTCTTTCCATCTCCAGTCCCATGCCCCTGCCCAACTCCCCTCTTCCTTCTGTGCTTTCCCTTGCAACTTCCTCATTACGACTTTCTTTTCACTATTCGCATCCAGTGACTTTTCGGTCGCTCTACCCTAGGCCGCTGTTACCTTTGCCTGACGTGCGAGGCCTGCAAGGCTATGCCTTTTTAAGGTCGTAGGCTAGGCAGGACGCGGGATGCGTGCCAATACGCTTGTGGATGCGAAGGGGTCAGAAAGCTTTTTTTTTGGAATGGTCTGAAAGCGATGGCTCTGTTTTTGAGTGTTCCCTTTTTCCAAGAATAGTATGTCGTTTTGAGGAAGAGTGAACAGTGCAAAAACGACCACCTTCTATAAACCATCATTACATTTCATTCCCTTGATAAAGCATTCGTTTTCGGTTGTTTTGCAAAACTATGAACTACACAGTAAAATTATGAGGGGAAAAAGAGGCATCCAGGGGGAGAAACGGGGGTCGATAAAAATGCGATTTATTTCAACAAGTTTTTAAATCGCGATTAATACTTTAATCGATTAATCGGTCAAGTAATCTAATCGAATTGACAGCCCTGGTACTAAGTAATTGAGAAAAATTCTGAAATTTTCCAACTGTTGGTATGCATACAGGGTGGCCCATAAGTAAGTTTCCCGAGGGATTTTCAGCTACACTAATTACTTACTAATCTAGGTTTATTATTTATCTTACCTGATGTTATTATTTTTATTATTAGACCTTGTTGGTGGTTGTATTTGTTTATAGTTGAAATTGCTCATAGACTTCCCAAATAACAAAATATTTTAACCATTGGTTAAATAATCGGGTAAACTTACTTATGGGCCACTGTGAAGAACTTGTGATTAACCACCACCTATTTTTTGTCTGTTATGGGTGGGTTGGCCATGCTCTGTTGAGAGCAGCTGCAAATTTTCGTAAGACCTCCTCCTAGCCGGTGACGCGGTGGAAAGGATGTCCTCATTCGGGAGGTAGACTCCGGTCACCGACTAGGAGGGGAGAGGTAGAGAGGTTTTTCTGGATGGACTCTGAGGCAGAGTAGTAGTTCCAATGGTAGTTTCATCCTGGACGCCTCGTCCACCTGGTCCATTCACTGCGTGGCCCACCCACTTCCAGCCTCGCCACGCAATGGCTGTGTCCCCAATCTCTATCCTCGTCAGATGTGTAAGTCACATCAATTGTTCCAAACATCCCAAATCGTTGCGCATTGTGTCCCTTCCTCGCGCGTTCTCTAACATGAAATTCTTTGCAAAAACTTCATAAATAAATCCACGAGGATATTGTTCTGGTTTGCTTCGAGTCACAGTCTCTCACAATCTTCCAAAACTCGGTCTAACGTCACACCACCCTGTATATCGATGGCTGGAATACTAATTCCAGAACTGGAGTTCTAATAACGTCAGAGGTGTATCCCTCTGACGTTATTAGAACTGGCAACTCCAACAAATTCGCCAAATTTTTTAAAATTAAAGCATTTTTCGCTGTGAGTTACCTTGGCCAAGTAAGAATTAAAGCGAAAAATGACTCAATGGATCCGAATCGTCCTTGACGGATCGAGTCGAACCGAGCTTATCCTCGAGGAATTCCGGTTCCGTTCTTCGGCGTTTCTTCAAAGAGCGAAGCAATGGAGTCTGTCGAGTGGAAGGGCGACTGTAATTCTACGGGTAAACGAACTGTCGTTCCATCACTTCTCTTCCACCATATTTATTCGTGGGCATTTCTAGGATGGCGCTAAACGAAGTGCTGATAAGTAAAAACGTGCAGAAAAACGTAATGGAAAACGACATGAGAGCCTGAATTCAGTGCATTGGAGCGCGGAAACCTCAAGGTTTTCTACAAGGCGGAGAACGAGCGTGGTTTCCCTCTGGAACAAACGTGGGCCGGGATCGGATGACGTCACCATGCATACGTCACTCCCGCTCTGCCCGAGATCGACGACAGCCGCGAGGCGATGGAGAAATCGGGAAGCCCAGAATCCGTAACATCGGAAATTCGCAGTAAAAAACGAACTCACGGGCATCGGAGGCTGCATGGAAGCGCGGATGGCCAGCAACGCCCTCGCCAGAAACTGCTTCGCCTCCTCCTCGTTCCGGACCTGTCCACGCACGGAGCAGTCAACGCCAGCCCCCCGACCGACCCCAAGAAACCTAAATTTACCTGCTGCGGAAGGTGCTCGTACGCGGTCGCCATCTCTGCAGCGAATTCATCCCGTTATCACCACGCTATCACCGAGACGAACCCGATAGGAACGACGGAGATATCGCGCCCCGATCCTTCAGACCTCGCACGAGAGCGTTTCTATCAACATTGCGTCGAGGACTCGCTGACTCACTTGTCCCTGAGTGTGACTCGTCGCAGAGGCCCCGGCTTCTCTCTTATTTTCTCATTCAGAATGGATTTTTTTTGGATTGCAGGTCAATTATGGATTTTAGATTCGAGAAAACTCTAAAAATTTGCAGTCACTTACCATTCGTAGTTTTGATACCCAAAGTATCAAAACTCCCCCCCCCCCCCGCCCCCAATAACCACTTTGCTCCCCTCCGAACCGCTTTGACTCCTGAGAAGACAAGACCACCACCATTACACCACCGCTCACTGATGGTTTTTTTTTCCGACTGAAACGCGAGAGGAACGAACAACCGAAATTAGCTTGTGGTTCTATGTCATTTGAGGCTTTCACAGTTTTGCGCAAAGAAGTTGGGCAATTTACCTAAGACTCTTCCATCGAGGTAAGGGGGAAACGCGAATCCGAACATTAGCCGACCGGCGACGCGCTGAAAGGAAAAAAAAAAATCCATTCTCGACTCAAATTTCTCGTTTCAAAATGTTATTCAAATTTTATTCAAACATACAGACTTTCGCTTTCGCAAGAAGTTGCTGCAGAAGAAGGTCGCATCAACGTCGAGCGAGGATTGAATTCTGACCGTAGCAATGTTGCGCCGATACGATGAGGATCTCGCATCGTTAGAACCTCTGAGAGCTCGAAAGTACTCTAGAAAGTACTACCATCCCGCGATTCGTACCTTGCGAGTCTATAATTTATTTCTGTTCGGAGTTCTCGAATGACATTCCTGGTTCTGTCAGGCAAAACCAAATACTTATTTCGTTGACAGGAGTCAGACGATCCCTCGCGGCCCGAGTCAGACGCTCTTCCTGCGTTACAGTTACTAAGAGATAGAAGATGAAGTGTCTGCATTCGCGGCCACCTGGAGCCGGATGACGAGATGGCTGGTGCCGGGTGCCGGGGTGGCTGATGCCGAGTGCTGGGGTGGCTGGTACGCGCGATACTGACGCCCTAGCGAAGAAGTGGAGAAGCTCGGTCACGTCTCGTTCTGGGGCTTGTCGTGCTGCAAGAAATTAACAACAAAGACCAACAAAAAAACAGGTGAATCTCCCTGGAATCATCGTTCCGTGAGTTGTCCACGTCGAATCCAAGGGTTGAGTATTTTTCAAGCACTTCGTTCCGGAAGAGGTACCGGTTTTTTATTTTTTATTCCTTTGTCTGATATCGTGCGAGACTTTTCTCATGTGAGGAATGGAATATTCCTGTCAAGTTTTAAAAAAGGTCACTCTCTGCTCCAAACGTAATAACTTTACTAAAGTAACAAGAAATCGGATAAGCGATTTTCTCGCCGATCACACGTGCATATACAGTCGACGCTCGATACGGCGAACTCGAAGGGACAGGCTAAAAAATTTCGTTACAAAGAAAATTCGTTATAGGGAATTCCCCACATTTCGCTGAAAAAAGAGCAGTCGTAAACAAATTGTCATCGCAAAAAAAAGCAAGTACTTGTCCATTCGTGAAAAAAATGCAATGGTCTAAGCGCGTGTCATATTGCAAAAATACAACTTTTAAGATATATGTATGTACTTGAATGGACATGCACAGCAGTACCTGTACTTACTAGTACGTAGGTGCAAAAAAAATCGGACGAGTCACGAATGTTGTGCATTCGTCAGAAACAAAGTCCCAAATGGTTGTCAGCCGCGCGCTTTCCTCAAGGATTCTTTAAGCCATGGGCTTTAAGCACGCGATGTTTAAAAAGTTTCAGGCTCAACATTCGGCCTATGACCGAAAAATATCCGGAGATAGTCGAGGCTTTCATCGCCTGCCCGAGCAAGATTCTGAACTCGACTCGACCCGAACAATGAACCGGGAATGAAGAAGGGAACAATGCACCGCCCGAATATTTCTCGGTTGCGATGTGTCCAAGCCAGATCTATGTTAAGCCTGGAAATGATGGTTGGGTCTCTCCACGGTGTCGGACGTGACATCCGGAGTAATATGTTTACATGTACAGGGTGCCCAATAGAAAACCAAAGGATTTATTTTTATTTATTAAGGACTTATTCAAGATTATTCACAAAGGATTTACAAATATTCTACTAGATGAAATACTATATAAATATATATTATAAATATTATACTAGATGCAAACTTGTCGATAGAAAACATCATTTCGTTGTTAAAGGCGTGATAATTGCAATCCTTTGGTTTTCTACTGGGCACCCTGTAGTATACAAATTCATTTAACTATATTATGGATGACGAATCAGCATATAAAGACTATAACAATTTGCTTTGGATATTGACTGAAAATTCCATAATCCAAAGTCTTGCACTCTCTCTTTTGTTAGAGGTGCATTGAAAAGTGTCTGATGTGACATTTCGTGAACCCTCAAGTTAAAGTCACTTGTTCTAATGTTCACATATCTGTCGTCGAGCAGACCCTAATAATTTAGTTTCATGTTCATTCTAGAGATTGAATGAAAGCCTAGAATTAGTGTAAGTCAGCCCAAGATTACAGCACTTGAAACAGAAAGTAAGCCTATTTTGTGACGGTGTCGGATGTGACATGTTCTGAAAATGTATTTTGAAACGAGAAGTTTGAACATATCTTTTAATTTTATTTTTTAACGATATCATTCAAAAGTGAACAATTGACATCTACTCTTCCTGAGCTGATTTGAAATTATCATTATGCTTGGAAAGCCCATGCTGGCATCTGTTCCAGTAGTCCAATTCAGTCTCCCAGATTAGCATTTTCATCACATTTTTGAGTATCATGAGTGGTATGAATAATAAATTATTATCATGACTATTTCTTTCATTTTTCAATATAATATACTTTTTCATTCATGTCTTCTGGGTAAAGAGATGATGAACTTCTCTTGCAAAAGTAATATTTGCATATTTAGGAAAATTTCCGGCTAAAATCCTAGGACCACTTGGCATGGAGAGACCCAGTTCTGTTGTTCTGGGAATATCCAGATTCTGTCCCCAGATGTGAGTCGTTCTGCCGAGCGAGGTCACTGCCATCTTCCGAGCATGGAATGTAGCTGGCCTCCCCTCCCTTTGATCCCGGAGTTAGTGCCTTTCCCGGGTCAAATCGACACACCACCATCATTTCCTTAGAATTTCGACACACTTCTGACCCAGAGGAGCCCATAAGGCCTCCTTGAGGTTTTTCTAGTGGCCCAAATGTGTCAAAACACATTGTCGCCTTCATAAAATGAGGAGAAAGTGTGTCCAAATGACCATACGAGTACAAAATATGTCACTTCGACGCACGAAAAGTTTTGTGGTTTTTTTTTTCGCTATTCCTCTATTTTTTCTTTTTCCAATCTGTTGGCTCATAGAATCCTACATCATTGGGATGCTCCTTGTCTTCTTCATTTCGATGAGCAATACCTGGCAATTCTTGAAGAATGCAAGCAGGAAGAGGAAGGAAACTAGGTATATTTTCCTTGACAGCTCTCTAATTTTTAGAATTTTGTATCCTTAGCCTCAGCATGATTAGGACAGGAACCGTAAGGACTCGTCATAGGAGACATAGCTTAGGTTGAAAGTGTTGGAGACATCCCATTGGTTTTATGGTTTTGGGATTCATGGAAATGCTAATCCTGTTTGATGAGACGATCAAGTTGTTGTTGAGTGTGATTAGAAGTATGGAGTAGGTCTCAACCTGATGAAAAATATAACTGTAAGTCACTGTTATCACTTATGAAGTTACTATTGCCACCTGTTCTGTTTACGAGGCAGGTTTCAGTTAACCATCAGTCCCTTGTGAAAAAAAAATCAATGCTGCAAACAGACATATCGGGACCTATCTTGCAATCTCTTTGTCAGTATACCCATCCGATTCTCTCGAAGGTGACATGGCTCCTCGGAACATTATCCTCTTTTGAGTATAATTTTCCAGCACATGTTCCAGCGTGTCTGGAGATGTCGAATGAATGTCTTTAGTGTGTTTTTTTTAATGTCTGCACTTCTCTCGTCACGGGACTTGGAATTCCGTCCCGATTGGCAAGTCTCCTTGCCTTAGTCGTGGAATTGACCGAGGGAGCGAAAAGCAGTCACAGGAGTCCGACTCCGGTGAAAAGACCGTCCGACTGATAGGAGTGATGAAGCAACGCACTGATGAGTTGCCGTAAAAAAGGTTGCTGCAAAAATTCAACTGAACGATGAGCTTGTTTCATTTTTGTATCCAATAGTAACAAACGCATGCCACTTACTTATCGTCATCAGCTACCCACCATATTTACTGGACTTGCCTTGTTTTTTCTTCCCACCATCCAATATCTTAACGAAGAGGCAGGTTCTCCAATGATGATGGAACCATGAGCCCCATGACAAATGGTGAGCTGAAGGGACACTTATTTGCATTCGTCATGCGTTCTCACGTGTGTGCTCTTAAATTTTTCCAGAAATAAACATTTTTTAAATCAACCGAGTAGAAATACGGATGTGTCGGAATCGGATCGATGCGGTATCGACAGGGCGCCAACGTCGCCCAACATCAACCCCAGTCCATCGTCGGTCGTGCTGACGTTGTCGCCCGTGTTACCGCGTAGAGTGCGTGTGGGAGGAGAGTTTTTTTTTTCCACGTAGTTTCTGGACGATGGAATTTGAACTCGAACTCGTACCACCGGGGAAAGAAAAAGAGCCAGTCGCAGTCAGCCGGGCGCGTTTCTCCCCCCGCTCTCCGATTTCACCACCACAAGTTTTCTCTCGTCCTTCAAGTGAGACGAGGGCGACGTCAAAGATGCGTCCTTCTCGCCGTCTCACGCACGGCCACTTCGTACGGCGGGGGAAGGTCCATTTCGTATGAAGGTGGGAGGTCGAGCGCTGTCGTCCGAAGCGATGACAGGAGCAGCAGCAGGCGATGGGGTGACGCCTCTTCGAAGACTGGATTCGCGGATCCCGGCGACGATGGGGGACGAGCCGGCGGAGGCTGACGGACGGGATCGCGGAGTCCGGATCGAGAGGACGTCCAGATGGGACTCGATCGAAGGGGGTCACGTGACGGGGCGAGCCGCGGTGGCTGCGGCGGGGGTCGTGCTCGGGGTGACGATCGCGTTCTCGGCAGGCAGAATTTCTGGAGGAAAAAGGAGAAATTTAATTATTTAAAATTATTGACTTGACGGGGAATGCCGGACGAACATGTCGCATGGCAGGGAGATGAGAACTCTTTGGGAAAAAAGAAGCCTGTTCCAAAGGTGTGTCCTTGGCAACGGGGAACCACCTTCCAGAATTCAAAGTACCCGTCTCAGTAACGTCTCTTCGTCGCAATTCTTGAGAAGTTTGTCGTTTCTGTCCTCGAGAAGAAACGTGTAATCCAATCGTCGAGTGGTCCAATGGTGAAATCAGTCAAGGAAGCGTGGTGTTTGAAGGCCATACCGATGAATATTCAAGCCTGGAACTATCAGAATGTGTCTCTGTCTCATCTCTTCGTTTCCGATCTCGAACGTGGAAAGCCCGCGATTCGAGTCACTTTCCCGTGCGAACGCTCTCACGCCCCCGCGCTGAGTACACAGACGGAAGGCGATGCCTTCGATGCCGATTCCACGAAGAGGAATGAAGTGTGACGCAGTGTGTCATTGGTCAAAGTAGCAAAACTAGAAAAAATATGAAATTTGACTGTCCTTTCTTCAATTCCTCTTCAGTATCTGTAAACTTGTGATCCACGTTGACTGAGTCCATGTTTTGTTTCGCTATTATGATCTCGAGATTATTTTATTTATGGAAGTTTAAATTATTTACAGCCTATTCTATTGCCTGTCGTCAATGTCTGTTTAGACTTGTCTAAACAGACAAGTCTAAACAGACAAGTCTAAACAGACAAGTCTAAACAGACAAGTCTAAACAGACAAGTCTAAGCAGACAAGTCTAAACAGACAAGATTAGATAGACAAGTCTAAATAGATGGAAATGCACTAAAAAAATATTTCCGAGCTCTCCGGTATCTGATGCCCTGTGACAGGTGACTTTTATGTTAATTGAGTCCATTCTAAGAATATGTGACAAAAACTGCGCACTTGGCATCAGCTTTACGCCAATAAGATCTAAGAGCCTCCCCTCCTGCACGTGCACTCACGATCGAATTCCTTCCGCAAGGAATCGTGCAAGGAAGCGGGACTCACCACGAGAACGACCTCCCAAGCGAAGGCCAGCAGGGGAAGGACGGACAGCGAGACGACGACGCTCCCCAAGACGACGACGAACACCGCGACGCTCTCCGACTTCCACCGGACGGAGCGATCGACGACTCCGGTCCCGACGAGCCCGAGGGCGAGCAGAGTCAGGCCGAGCGGGAGGAGGCAGAGAGCCGTCGACGCCTTCCACCTGTTCCACGGCCCTGCCATCCAGCGTCCTGCTCTTCGTCACCCGCCGCTTTCCGTCTTATCTGGTTCCTCACTCTAATCCGTCGATGATCTCGTGCGTTTTGGTCTCTATCGACTGCAGATATCCGGTACTCGCCGTCGAAGGGAACGCTTCTCGATGTGCAGATGTTCCAATATTCATCATGAAGCCTGAATTTATTTAAACCCAAGTAGAGGATCCGGGATGATGGAATGACTCCCGCTTTTGTTCAAACTTGCTTTTTCTGATCGAGACTCCGGCGTTCGTTTTCTATTTACTCGGAAAGACTTAATGGCAGACGCCGCCAACAATCCTATGAGACTTTTCATCCCCAATGTTCGTTGCTATCAAGAAAAGACCGACGTCGTGCGACGGTGATAAAAGCCCATCTGCCGTTCAGCAAAGCTCGTAATTGGCAAAACTGCCCCTGTTAAAAGCCTCAATTGACAACGTTCTTGGAAATTGACAAAAGCAACTCTATAGTGTCAAATGGATTCTTGCATCGTTTCAGCGCCGCGTGCTATCTCATGGATACCTTTAGGATTCCACTAAACTGCATTCGTGTGGGAAAATATTTTTTGGCTTAGAGCCCACAACTTTCTGTGACACTTGGTAACCTCGTATATTTTCTTTTAGTTTGGAAATTGGGAATGGTGGTACTTCCACGAAATGTTCGCCGATGTGAACCTGGGGATCCCATCCTCTTTTTTTTTCCATTCTTTTTTCATCCTCGCAATGCATGTCTAGAGTTTCAACCAAAAGATGTTCACTATTCCATTAAAAAAAAACTTGTAATACGTAATTGGGACTCGCTCGTGCAATTTCGAGGGTAAATATCACGCTTTCCCAATCCAATTAAATTTTTTTTCAGCGGAACAAGTCAGATTGTTATTACCAAATGAATGAAATAAATTATGCACATTATAGTAGTAAGAAGTAAATATAAGTAATATATATAATTTACTATGGTCGCGAGCCTTCGGCGCTTCGTTATCTAGGATAGTGATCAATTCATTAATTCATTTTCGAAGTGGCAAAAACGTATTCAAACTACGTCCCTATCGAAATATGTGCCATGAGGGGACGTAACCGAAAATTTTTTTAAAATCAAAATCATTACTCCGAGGATTTCTTGTGTGCATAATAACTTCAAATCTCTTTATGTGCCCCTTTTTGTCAGAGCGGAAAATAAATCTTGAAATACTTTCCTCTCATAATCCGCCTTGAGCGGACATATTTCAAAAATAGCTTTTTTTTGCACTCAGCAATTGAACAGATACTTCTGAGCCAATTTTTACTTTTCTATATCTCACTGTTTCGTTGGATCGAAAAAGAGTCTGGAAAATGCACCTCTTATAATAAATGTGCCCTGAGGGGTTTTATTTAAAATTTTTTTTTTACTCAAATCGGTACTCGGAGAACTCTATGCCCACCAAGTTTCAGTTTTATACGTTTGCTCTCTTCGCTGGTGCATAAATATATTTGGAAAGGCGACCCACCCAAAAGCTGTGCCCCGAGGGGATGCACTACAAAAGTTGAAGTTTTCCTCAACTCAACATCACGTCAGTTATGCGTGTGCCAAGTTCCACATTTCTATTTCTGCCTGATTCGCTAGTACAAAAAGTTATTAGAGGTCAACTCCCAAAAAATGTATCCCCAGGGAATGTATCTGAAATGCGGCATTTTTTCTGAACTCAGTATCTTAGGCACGTTCATGCCAAGTTTTAACTTTCCAGGTCTCTCCAATTGAATAAAGCAAAAAATGTATTCAAAACCATCTCCCCCCAAAATGTGTGCCCCCCTAGGGCATTTACCTCCAAAGTATGAATTTTTCTGAACTCAGCATCCCAATAGGTAACTATGTACCAAGTTTCAGATTTCCAACTTTTCTAGAACATGGTTAGAATTAGCGTCAATCACGATCGTCTATATGCAGGGTGTCCGTTAAGTCCCTATTTCAATTGGCCCTATCTCCATTATGGAGCGGTCTATAAGTTCCATATTTGTCATGGAGGATGTACAGCCCAGTAGTGTGCCCAAGGGGGGAGTTTTGGGGGTCATAACCCTCCCCTTGGGGTCAATTTTACACGTTCGATTCTCACAAATTTTTTTTTTTTTCGCTACAAATACAAATATAAAAATATCAGTTTTTTTTATGTTAACCCCCCCCCCCCCTC